TAAGATTCAGCATCACCATGATGGAAGAGGTCAACAATGTCTGGCATCTTTGCTGCCAGGTCGTGTGCTCAGTGGGATCTTTTGTGTTTAGGAGACCGCTTCCGTTGTCTAGTGGAAGAACGTCCTCCAGGAGAGTGGAAGGTGCGGGTTTCGATACCCGGCTGCGTCATGACAAAAGACGGTACTTGTTGTTACCCTGCCTGGCGCTCGGCATTGAAGGGCTAAAACAAGGACTGGTCGGCTCGGAGTCAGTATACTGTGTCTGAGTGCGGTATTCATGTGGAACTGCGGCATGGTATCTCAGTGGGCTAGCACAATAAAGTCGGATTAGTCCGGACTAGTACAAGCAGTCACACACACACACGTGCATGCACGTCGCTATATAAGTGCAATAATCTCGGACGCGACGTTAAACACCATTACAACTAATCTCACCTGTAGTTGAGGAAAATACTTTTCATTACATGACATATTTGTGTATGTGCAGGGTTGGCGTGTATATACATAGTTGACATGTTTTTTGTGTTTTTTTATGTATACCTGTCATGTGTCTCTGAGTCACTGAATGCATTGTAATATAAATAGTGAGTTGGGTTTAACGCCGATTTTATCAGTATTCCAGTTATATCACGGCCTGTCAGCTTTATGTGGAAGGAAGGCCCGAAGTGATGCTGGTCTCCGGCGTTTACGGGTATGGCGCTGACAAACCTAGAATCATAATCGGGGCGAACCGGGATTCGAACCCACAATCATAGGTTTCTGACGTGCCCAAGGGTCAGCGAATCGAGGCGCCTTAGATGACAGGGCCACCCGTGCCCCCAGCAGGCATGTGTGAACGGAAGGATGTAGTGCCTCTAGGAACAGTTACCTGCGAACCATACGCAAGAAGCAGGAACAGGGGTGCGAGGTGATTTACCTGGATGAAACATGGGTCAATGCATGTCATACTGCGCAACATCAGTGGTTTCCACCAGATGTGCGCCTAAGACGACTGGGCCACCCCGCATTATTTAGAAGTTGACGGATGTGCTTTGGTATTTCGTGCCAAACCTAAACGCAACCGAGATTATCACACCGAAAAGAAAATGAAAGTGAAGTCTTTCAGGAATGGTTGGAGAAACAGTTAGTTCTGGTTCTTCCTCCAAAAACGCTGATCGTTACTCCCTATCATAGTGTACAAGACCAAAACAGTAGGGTACCAACATCAATTTCCTGAATTTCCATGATATCTTGGCTGGAGTCACATGATGTCCCGTTTCCCACTGAGACTACCAAACCTGTGGTGTATGACCGTGGTCTAGTGGTAGAGCGTCCGCCAGGAGAAGAGAAGGTCGTGGGTTCCATCCCCGGCCGTTTTCATACCAAACGAAGTTAAAAATGCTACTTGTTGTTATCCTGTCTGGCGCTCGGCATTAAGGGGCTAAAACTAGGAATAGTCGGAGTTAGTATACTGTGCTAGCACTATAAATCGGCATCAGTCCGGACTAGTACAAGCAGTACAAGCAGACACACACACACACACACACACACACACACACGTATGCAGTCGCTATATAAGTGCCATAATCTTCACCTCACCGCATATGACATTGTGAAGGCCAACAAAACAAAGCCTATGTTCAAGGTGAACATTGCCGTGCAATCATACGGACACGAGGTCCTGGCACTACCACGCTATCATTGTAACCTTAGCCCTATGGAACTTGTTGGGGGCATTGTGAAGGGTGATGTTGGCAGAAGTAATACAACATGCAAAGTATTCGATGTGGGGAAACAGGTCAGAATAGCTCGGACAGTATTTGTTAAGAAACTTGGGCCGAGTGCATTGACAAAGTTGAGGCCGGAATCGAGGCTTCATACTGGGAAAGACTTAGATCATGCAACCGTCAGTATATTGTTATTTCTTTTCACAGTGACAATTAATGTTTTTCAGAATAGAACTTTGAGACTATCCCTGTGTTCCGCGGTGCCCTTCATCTGTTCTGTTTATAGTGCAGACCCCCTTGTTACAACATTCATTAAAACACCAATAATTACATGATCGTTTGTTAAACAACTGTTTCATGACAATGTCTGAAATTATGGTGACGAGTTGAAGTAGGCGAATAAACAACTTTCATGTTGATGTGTATTTCTTTCAGTTAGTGCTGGTAATTATAATGAACGTGCTGCTAAATATAACATTGTCTGTTCGTGAGGTTAAACCGCCTTCGTGGTACAGTGGCTGGAGCCTCTGCCCGGAGTGAGTGAGTAAGTGAGTATGGTTTTACGCCACTGTTAGCAATATCCCGGCAGGACACCGAAATTGGCTTCATATACTGTACCCATGTTGGCAATCGACCGGGGTCTTCGGCGTGACGAGCGAACGCTTCAACCACTCGGGTAGCATACCGCCCCTCGTCTGGAGAACGGAAAGTCGGGGGTTCGGTCTCGTGGTCGCGTCATGCTAAAATACGATTAAACGATGGCACTTGGTTTGAACCTGCCTGTCGCTCGGCATTCAGTTGTTTAAACTAAGCACTTGTCGGCTGGTAAGAATAGGTCTTCTGCAACACATGCTTGCGTAAAAGACGACTAACGGGATCGTGTGGTCAGGCTGGGTCACTGGGTTGATGCATGTCATCGAATCCCAATTGCGTAGATTGAAGCTCACGTATCAATCACTTGATTGTCTGGTTCAGACTCGATAATGTTCAGACCGCCATCATATAAATAGATTTATTTATTTCTGAATGCGGCGTTAACCAACCAGCCGTTCTGTTCATTGCACGTCTTATTTCCAAGTATCAACTGCAGCAATCATGTATTACGTGCAGGTTAAAACACTCCTCCGTTATGGTTAAAAATGTAAAACCTGGGGCGTGAAATACCAGAAAAGAAAGAAAATAAAACATCGGGGCTCCTTATAGTAACACAATACAATAATCGCGGTAAAAATTCAATGACAGCGGGCGAGAGCACGTGCTGCATGCAGAAAACTGAAGTCAGTCACGTGTGAGATTGGTCACCCTTTCATCACCACCCTGGTCTGTCGCACAGACACTGCGAGGATAAATTAAAGGAGCGCAGCTGAAATCTAGACTGATGGTGTGCAGATTACTTAATAAGCATTGTCCTGGACTTATTATTTTTATTTTGTAGATATATATTTTTAAATAAGACCAGTTTTTTTCTGGGACTAAATGTCAGTCGACCTATGCCCGTGCAGGAGGGTTAGCGTTGGTGGCGAAGTGAGTGGAAATGTTATGCTGGAGCCTATGTGGGGATGGAATAAGTTCTTCTAGTTTTGAATTGACGAAGAACAGCGTTGTTGTCTTGATTTCAATGAACAATTGGGGATCATTTTAACAAATATTCACTGATAGGGATTTTACAGATTTGCAGGTTTATACACACGAGGTATATTTAAGGATTGAAGTTGTATTTGTTGACGTTCATCAGCTGATGAAGACAGTGCCTCATGGGAGCAAATTCCATGATGCGTGAACCGTCACATCCCAACAGAAGCAATTTTCTAGTGTTAACAAAGTCACAATCAGAACATATTTTATAAATAACCGTTTCCAAAATATCATAGGATGCTGGATTCACGAGGGCTTTAATTTTAGGTTCATACTCATAGGGAGCACGGGTGGCCCAGTCGTCTGAGGCGCCGCGATTCGCTGTGCAGAGTTGCGTCCCTTGGGTACGCCAGAAACCTATGAATGTGGGTTCGCCCCGATTATGTTTCTAGGTTTGTCAGCACCATACCCGTGCTCGTGGGTTTCACCGAAGTGGTAAACGTCTGAGACCTTCATCACTTCGGGCTTTCCTCCTACATTGAGCTAACACACCGCGATGTAACTGGAATACTGTTAAAATCGGCGTTAAACCAAACTCACTCACTCACTGAAAAGTTGCAGATGAGAAAGTTTCAGGATATACAAGAGGCAGTGATCAGGGTTTGTTTTGAACACCCTTACCACTGGAGTCCAGCATAAAAATATAATGTAGCACCAGGAAAAGTAGCAATTGACAATTTTGGTAAAATACAAATAATAACAGTTTACCTACACTTGGAATTCCCACCCAAAAATAACAGAAACCATAAACTTGACAACAAAACAAGCCTAGTATAGGGCAGAACAGATTACAATATGTATGGAGTAGTCCTAGGTGTAAATTGGAGATGTGATGTCACAATGAGGAGACCATTTCATTTGATGATAACTGTAGCTTATAACAGTGTCTCGTCCTGAGGATGTACACTGATGACCAAGCGCTGTGGGTCTCTGGTTTTGGTTTGTTGTTTTACGCCGCACTCAGCAATATTCCAGCTATATGACGGCGGTCTGTAAATAATCGAGTCTGGACCAGACAATCCAGTGATTTACATCATGAACATCGATCCACGCAATTGGAATCGATGACATGCATCAACCAAGTCAGCGAGCCTGACCACCCGATCCCGTTAGTCGCCTTTTACGGCAAGCATGGGTTGCTGAAGACCTGTTCTACCCCGGAACCTTCACGAGTCTCTGTAGTACTCCTCGATTACATCCAGATGAAGCCGCCTCAGCAACTGGTGTGACAGGAGCCCGCCTGGATGCAACCCATCATACATAAGGTGGCACATGATCTTCTGTCGACCATGTGACCCAGTTAAACGCTGACTCACCCTACTAATTTTAGCAAATCAACGTTAAACATCAATTGCGTATTAAGCAATATCATCCCCTCACTGATTGAATTTTGCTGTTTTATTACATCACGATCATGATCGTCATAACTATCTGGTATGGAACATCCTTTGCACCAATTGTACTCCATGTACTCCAGAATAGTATGGTACACCAATAAATTTAATGTGGCAGCCCTGGCGAAAGGCATATCTCCTCGTGTCCTGGAAAGTACTTATGACTTCCCGGGGAACTGAAGCATAAATAAAACTGATTACCCAATTACAATATAGTTCTTACATAATTCGTGTCTACTACGATGACCATTTAGTCAACTGGACAGTTGTTTTCAATACTTTATTCCGGGGGATGTCTTTCAAAACAATGTCTTTCTAAAATATAACGTCAACGCCAGAGAATAACCTGTCTCGATTATCCGCCGAAGCAGATACCATAGGGTGTAAAAGGCAATGTAGCGGTGAAATTACACTGAAAATCATTAATGACAGCAGGTATTCATGAGTGAGTGAGTATGGTTTTACGCCGCTTTTAGCAATATTCCAGCAATATCACGGCGGAGGACACCAGCAATGGGCTTTACACATTGTACCCATTTCGGGAATCGAACCCGGGCCTTCGGCGCGTGACGAGCGAACGCTCAAATCACTAGGCTACCCGACCGCCCCAGGTATTCATAAAAAGGGTAAGCATTTCCGAACTCCCGGAAGCACTCTCCTTTCGGACAACTTGCATAAAAATGTGTTTGTTGTCTGATGCCTCACAGCAGACCTCCTGCCATGACACCTTTAAACAAACCAGACAAGCAAGTGATGGATCAGAAACTTCAGTGACGATTGGCCAACATCACCACAACTGTTACTCCATCGCACCGCCTCGTGCCACAAGCAGGTCATACACAGAACTATGACCCCTGCTCCTCGCTATCCACGCTCCTGATTTACCAGCATGGTTCCTGGCATTGATGTCAAACATGTCCAGTGAGAGGACATACTCAACTATCGACACGTACCCTCCCTCACAGGCCAGATGAAGGATGTTCCTGCCGTCACTAGAAACATATGATGGGTCGGCGCCTTTATTCACAAGTACCTTGACCACGTCTCCATGTCCCCACCGTGCTGCCTCCATCGTTGAGGTCCACCCCTGCGACCCTCTACCGTTGATGTCCACCTTGGTGTGTGATAGAATATATTTCACTATGTCTACATGTCCTCCACGACAAGCAAGATGAAGGATGTTATTACCACCATCAGTAACAAGTAACCGATCAGCTCCGTGTCTCATAAGTAACTGGACCAATTTCGTGTGTCCTCGCTCAGCTGCCCACATCAATGGTGTCCTTCCCCACTGTCCTCTACAATTGATGTCCACAATCTTCAATGAAAGGATATACTCCACCATATCAGTAGATCCTTTCCAGCTGAGCAGCTCCAGGACAGATTTGCCGCTATCATCTGCTAATGACAGATCAGCTCCTTTTTCAACAAGCAACTGAAATACCTCTCTATGTCCCCGCAATGCTGCCCACATCACCAGTGTCCTGCCCGACCTTGTTCTGTCGTTGATGTCTGCACTGCCCTCAGACAAGAGGCGTCTAACTAGCCCCAGTTCCCCTCTCCAAACAGCATCATAAAGAGACGTGTTTTTGTGTAGGATGGTCTCTGGCGAATCATGTTTCACTGTAACAAAAAGACTTACACGATACAAATGTGGGACATTATTATCAGAAATTTGTCTCAGATTAAACTCGCTTAATACAGCCAAGAAAAATGTAGTAGTTTGTTATTCTAGTCAGAAGTATCTGGTGAATAACTTCTTCTTTGGCGTGAGAAAAAGTTCTTCTATCATTACTAAGGGTTGTGAAATGTTCTTACGGTTACCCTATGCTTCCAGTGAGTGAATAAATGCGTATTGTTTAACGCCACAGCAATATTCCAGCTGTGTCATAGTATAGTATACTATAGTATACTAAAGTATATGCCGCCTTATCCAGCAAACAAACTGACCAGATGTCTGTGATGACGCGTTTCTTGTCGTTCCGCATGTAGCAGCCTGCTGGTCATTGGAGACTGAAATATATATATTAAGTTTTCTTTATATGTAACCTGTCTTTTTACAGTGAGCTAATGTTTAATCATTCAACTAATTCCTGCTTAGGGTTCTCTGAAATGTTCACTCACAAATGAGTATATTGTAGTTGACTGAAACACACAACAGTCTTCGGCTATCCCACAGCAACTTTACATACACAGGCAGCTCCAAGAGACCATTGTACGATTCCGACTACATAACAAGCACGTGTTTATGAATAAATACCCAAAGAGACCACACTTATTGGGGCTAGTGTCATATTTAAAAAACAATGTCTCGTAACAGCAGAAAGAATCCTGATTCCAATTTGAAAACGTATTAGCACATGTGATATGTAAGACCACATCCTTCAAAGTCCCTTTATTCAAGCCACAGTTTTAAACGTAGTATCTTTGTTATTTTAATTGATGGCTAAAATCCGTATTATCGCCAGCAGCTGAAGGGATGGTGTAAATCCTGCAGGTAGCAGAAGTATCGCAAGTCCCTACGGTCCCCAGTAAGGTGGCCTAACTTTGTTTGCTGGTGATCTACAGCCTATTTTTATTTTGTATTGCTGAATGATAATTTATTCTTTTAATTATTCTAAGCTAGTTTTAAAATCGAAACTGCGATACTCTAGTTATCTTACTGTCCATCGTTGACAGTTTTTTATTAAATCTAAATATAATTATTATAACCGTTTCGTCACGATATTGCTGCAATATTGCCGATGTTAAATTTCACTCACTCACTCACTTACTAACTATTAGCACGTGTAAAAAGAAAAGATCTGAATAATTCACTTTTTTAATCATCATTGTCACGCATCATAGATTAAATGTTGATCTGAAGGCACGTGCACGTTATGCCATTTTTTAATTTGCATGCTGCACATGATATATAGTCACTTAATTGTCAAATGGTCAAAACGTAATGATATATTGGTGAACATGTCAGTGGTGGGTGTCCTGGGTTTGTATTTGTCCTTACGATCTCGTGGTTTACATGGCCATTCACCTAGCAAGATTCCTTACAACATGAGAGTGACACGTGCGTCTTGAAGACGTCTCCCTTGCTCTGGTAACGGTGTTAGTATCTACACAAATCTCATTAAAATCAGACCTACCGCTAAACAAAGATCTGAAGACATCCCATTAAGGGTCACGTCAGAACGACCTTTCATCCGACCAATCAGTGCGTCGCTTACCAGATTATGAAAGCTGCCTTCTGATTAGTCATTCCATTGGCCGGTCAAAGTTCGCGCAAGGTCGGTCTGACGTGACCCGTAATGGGATGTCCTCAGATCTTTATGTAGCGATAGCGAGAACTAAGATCTGATTTTAATGAGATTGGTATCTACACCAAAACGTTGCCTTCATTGTAATAAAGAAGTTGAATATCCTCATAACTATCTCCCTTGCTCATCATATCAACTTCTACAGTAAACTACGGTTATAACGAACACGCTTATAACGAACTGACTGATATAACGAACTTATTTTTTAGTCCCGGCCATTCGTTGCATATGTGCTGTATATATGCTTATAACAAGTGAGTGTGTTAAATTTTAAGTCACATCGGCAATATGTCAGCCATATCGTGACTATCAATAGTTAAAACAGAATACATACATTGAAACTTGTATAAAAACCTGTCAACGAAGGACAGTAAAATTACTAGATTCATCACAGAAAAAGCTATGAAACTAGTACGGAATGATAAAAGAGAATAGCACTATACATAACGATACAAGATAAAAACAGGCTATAGATCGCCAGCAGCTGAAGGTAGACCACCATGCTAGGGTCCATGGGGACTTACAGTACTTTTGCTACCTGCATGGACCCCAGCCGGATTTACATCATCCCTTCAGCTGTTGGCGATTATGACAAATTTAGCCAAAGGTAAACGAACATATATACTACTATTAAAAATGTGGCCAAAATAAATATACTTTGAAAGACGTGGTGTTACATACCCTCTCAGGGGGGCTTATAACGAACTACGGTTATAACGAACTAAAATAAGTGGTCCCTTTGAGTTCGTTTTAACCGTAGTTTACTGTACATGCCACTTAAAGAAGCCTCCCTCGCCATTTATGTTGAAGTTCCTGATGTACTTTCTTCTATGTGTTCCCATTTTTGATTTTTCAGGTGAACAATTGACTTGCATTTGCAATTGTTTTTGACGGGGGCCACTGCCGGGGCAGGACACGCTGACCTTTTCGCGAACATCTGGTATCATCACTTTATGATAGTGATTCATATACAAGTGATTATGATATGGTCGGAATTGTGAAAACTTCTTATGATTATGGAAACGGTTTTGTAGTTCTTTTTTACATCTTGGCCACCTTCTCCTTCTCCACCTGCAGTTGGATGTCCTTGACCCCCAGCTCCGTGACCTTGCCTGTGTCCCACGCCGCCATATGCAATGCCTGCCACATTGACATGAGCCCCATCACCGAAGTGGTTGTGTATGTTGACGACAGGCCTTCCTCCATCTGCATCATCCTTGCCAGCCTTCTCCCCCTCTACGACCACCTCCATAAGGCATTACCCAGCAGTCGTTGTAACAGATGGATTATTCCTGCTGAAAAAGAACATGGCAGCCATATTGAAGACATATTTGGACCGTTTGGCCATCTTTTTTTCAGAAGGTAAGGGCATTGTAAAGTGAAGTGGGTGATAATAATATTCTATCCGGTTTATCTGATTTTCTGTCTTGATTGGACTGACCATGCTTATTAATTATCTCAAATTAATTCGGGGCGGTCGTGTAGCCTTGTGGTTAAAGCGTTCGCTCGTCACGCCGTAGACCCGGGTTCGATTCCCGACATGGGTACAATGTGTGAAGCCCATTTCTGGTGTCACCCGCCGTGATATTGATGGAATATTACAAAAAGCGGCATACAACCAAACTCACTCACTCACTCACTCATTCACTCGCTCACTCAAATTAATTCGGAGCTCTTTGGACTTTTTCTCTTGATCTGAAATCACTGCTCTGATTAGGCTTGCATGTTTCTCTTAATCATGACAATTCAGGTTTTATTTAATTGCTTCAATTTAACTGGAAAATAGAACAACGTCAATTACCAAAACCAAAGAACTAAATGCCCCCATACAGAATGTAAAAAATATGTAACTCGTTTACATACCCGGTACCAAATTATACTGGTGACCCACAGGTATCCTAACGACACAAACAATTCGCCTACTGTCAATTTGAATTGAGACTGAGGTGGTAACGTCACAATGAAACTTTGGTGGCGACTAGGTGTAGGGTATTTAACATAATAGATGGAGATCTTCTAATACACTGGATAATCGAGGGTGCGAAAGGCTGTGATGTGTTGGGCGGGATCTGACCGATCATCAGTTACCACATGCAGGGTTGTTCCAGGGATACCTTTATACAGAACACAGCCTTTATACAGGTACAAAGAGTCGAAACATCTACAGATATTTTGTATGTTCATGGACTGTTGGAATATTCCAATATTCCTATTATGGGAATAACATCAAATTGTAGCTAATCCCCCCCCAAAACAACAACAACAAACAAAAACAAATTGTTCCAAAACATATTCTCCTTGTATCAAAAATCCAACCCCTGCCCGAATATTAAGATGGTAGGTCGCTAAACAGTGTTCTATTTTCTTTCATGTTTTTGTTGATGATGTCTTTTTCATAGTTTTAAATTCAATTCTGTAGGCTTACAAATGTGCATTGGAAACTGGGAATGAACATCATAATTGAACGTTGAAGTTATATATATCTTTCAACATTACATACAGCAGTTAATACTTTTGTAAATGCAGGGAAGTGGCAGAGTACTTCCTTTCGTACGATTTATTACTGAACTGGTTGTATTATGACAAAAAAGATATCAATATTTGCTTTTTTCAAAATTACTTACAAAGGGAAAATATAAGAATCATCAAGAAATCATTCTGATATTTTCATTAAAGCAGTAGGGGGTTTGCTGAAGCTGGTGTTTATCTTGCCACCTACCGGTTCTACTTTTTGACGTCCGGGTGAGTGAGTGAGTGAGTTGGGTTTAACGCCGCTTTTAACAGTATTCCAGTTATATCGCAGCATGTCAGCTTAATGTGGGAGGAAAGCCCGAAGTGATGAAGGTCTCAGACGTTTACCACTTCGGTGAAACCCACGAGCACGGGTATGGTGCTGACAAACCTAGAAACATAATAAGGGCGAACCGGGATTCGAACCCACAATCATAGGTTTCTGGCGTGCCCAAGGGACGCAACTTTGACGTCCGGAAATGTCCGAGAGGTTTCATCATACGTCCGGGAGTTACATATTGCAGTGCAGTCAGTCAATAAAACATGTCTTTCTCAGTTTGGTACGATCGGGAGAATACCAACTGTTATTGGCGTACAAATAAATAAATCACATGAAAAAAAAAACAAAAAACAACTCAGAACAAGTGAAAAGGTAAGAAATATTTAATAGGCCATGAAGATTTCCTTATCCAACAAAGCGGACCTAATGGTAATTACAGACTAGTTTGTTATAAAAAAAAATGATTCTTTGTTGTTTAACGAGGCACTCAGCAATATTCCAGCTATATGACAGCAGTCTGTAATTAATCGAGTCTGGACCAGACAATCCAGTGATTTACATCATGCGCATCAATCTACGCAATTGGGATACGATGACATGCATCAACCAAGTCAGCGAGCCTGAATACTACTTTCTTAGAGTGAATGTCTTTGTGGTTTTAATTCCTCTTCGTGGTCCTATCTGCCTGTGTGTGGTGCCTGGAATGTTGAGACGACTATCTGACGAAACAGGTTTGCTTTGTTGACATCTTGGGCCACGCTTGAACTTTCGAAAATGTCTGTCTTTCTCCTGTTGGCTTTTTGATTTCCAGCAGGCATTAGACAATAATTTATTTAAAGACTGTCATCCAGGGTGTCAGTTGGTAGTTTCCTTGGCTGTAGAGGGCACGGCGCATGTCAACATACTGGATGTTTACAGTTGTGTGAAGTTTGTCCATTAAATGCGAAATTCTTAATGATTGTCTAATTGGTACTTAATTTGATGATGTTGTTCATGCTCTCACGGTAAGTCCAATGTAACGGAACTGTTTTCGGTATTTCTTTTGAAGGCAGGAAAATGTCAGTTTTTTATAGTTTTAATGACTTGAAAAAGTATGTCAATTTGCCATTGACAAAATGATAAAACTGTTTCTTTGTGGATCCCTTTCCCCATACACAACAATCATCTTCAAATTTACTTCGATCGGACATCGACCTGCTGGACATATTCTGAGAATTGTCACAATTAAATGTAACATTTTCTCTTATTTCCACATGGAGCTCTGATTGAATGTTTTTAGCATTGGTAATTGTCTGAAACAAGTCCGGTTCGCCCGCGAACCTTCCACTGTTGTATAGGGAACCACGGACACTTGGTGATGAATCCTGTAGAGACAGTTCATCTTTACTTGGATTGACCGATGACTCCTCCATTGAGGACACTAGAGGCGCCATTAGTCGATTACAGTATGGTTGACTATATCCTGAAATATATGATGTCGTCTTAAACATACATATAGTTATCATATAAATGAGAGAGATATCCCTGACATTAGTTCATGACGTAAAAACGCATGTCTTCTACCTTACATTACTATGCAAATTAGCCCCAACAATTAGCGCCATGTAATAAGTGACGTCATATACGACTTAGCCCGTTTTGTGACATTTATTCGAATAAGATTGAAATAGAAAAGTTATATGATAAATAGAATTCGTGTTTCAAAACGTTAAATATTAACCTCGTCTAAGGTAATCGGTATTCTTTTCGCCCAAGAGAATATCGTGACTCGTTTTGATAGGCACTCGTGACGAATCCTCCTTATTTACAAAAAGTCCTCAGTTTGAAACTAGATGGAGATGCTTACGTCTAGTGACGTCCGATCAATGTCCATCGTTTTCATCTGCATAAGCGGCAGCACCGGAACAGTTCACGTCCTGTTCAGTGAATAATCGTAGGTTGTATTGTCATTCGTTGCGTAAACATTTGTCTATTCACGCCGTTGAGACAAATTAATTCTTCTCCTACAAATTAATGATTGGCGTACATATCATTTTCTAATATTTTTGACATAATAATTGGTAAGATCATGTACGAGAAACAGTTAGTTCAGGCAAAATGGAAACGCGGACTTGGGCTTTGATAATGAGGCTTTTACCTTTAAATCAACAAAATACGCATGTTTACGCAATTGCAGATTGTGTTCACAAAGGATCAGTATATACTAAGTAGTGGGGTGTGGGGGTAATTGGATTAACAGACACCATTTGTTAATGTTATTATAACAAATTGGCCTCCAATTGCTTGTCTCTCTCAAACAGTGCAATCCAATTAAGAGATTTTACTGTTACAGGTAAGTTCGGCCTTCTATATAAAACTTTATTCCAAAACTAAAAATTAAATTAAAAAAAGTAGTTTATCAGTACGTAGATCTTGTATAGTGTTATTTATTCTTCTTCTTCTACACAAAGATGTGTCATTAAAAAATACTATCCGGATCCAAAAATATAAAGAGGTGGGTTTTGTACTTACCGAGGGCTGCAGCTTACTCAAAATTGTCCAGAACAGCACTAGTTAAATGTGAACGATGTACCGCAATACTCCCATTGCTCGAGACAATTGTTCGACCTCCTTAACTTCGAGTCCCTCACACCCTTAGGGTGGTGCCCCGTCTTGCGTTGCTCGCAAAACACGCCCTAACGACGACCAGGGATGCACACATGGCCAGGGTAGCTGTTGTCCTGATGGAATTCTCTTCCACCAAGGGGGCACGGGTGGCCCTGTCGTCTAAGGCGCTGCGATTCGCTGTGCAGAGTTGCGTCCCTTGGGCTCGCCAGAAACCTATGATTGTGGGTTAGAATCCCGGTTCGCCCCGATTATGTTTCTAGGTTTGTCAGCACCATACCCGTGCTCGTTGGTTTCACCGAAGTGGTAAACGTCTGAGACCTGCATCACTTCGGGCTTTCCTCCCACATTAAGCTGACACGCCTTGATTTAACTGGAATAATGTTAAAAGCGGCGTTAAAACCAACTAACTCACTCACTCACTCTTCCACCACGAACTAATCCCACTGTCGAGGTTTTCGGTTTCCATGGTTAAGCGAATTATTACTCAACAATTTCAGATTATAATGCCATGGACAGTGTAAAATGAAAGTATTTCTGTGCGTGGTAAATAATGAGTAGAGCTTTATTTAGGTTTAACTCGGTAAGCGCAACGCAGCCGATCCGCTGCTCAGGTCACGATCCGCACGTGCGAGGGCGGTACTATGGACGCTCAGTATTCTCCCTGCAGACGATAAAGTAAGACTCGCGAGCAATGGCGTGCAAAGAGAGTGTCCACTTCGGAACCTGGTTGGAAGAGCAAGGTTCCAGCGATAGCTCTCTCTCGACATTGCTGGCGGAAGAGTTCGTCGCGCCATGTCAACTTGCAGACTTAACTAAAGACGATATTGCCGAGTTATGTGTCAAGATGGCACAGCGAAAACGTCTTGAGAAAGTGGTTGAAGACATGAAATCCCCCTGTCGTGACCACCACCAACAGCAGCAGCAGCAACAGCAGCAGCAAGATAACCATGCTACCACTAAAGACCTAGCGGTAAATTCCGCACTAACCAACTACTAGAATCTATCGGGTCGGCGTCATTGAATGACATCTTACATACAGACGATAAAGCGAGCAGTGGTGTTACCACCACAACTGGGGTTAAATCAGGTGAGAAACCATACTTTATACATGACTTTATTACCCGGCCTAAATGTGTAGCCCAAGATAACGAAGAGACTTTTGGTTTATCAGATGGCAGTATCCAAAAACTATCCAGAAAAGAAAGTATTTCTGTTGCACGTGTTTCTCACGGAGATGTAAGAATCGACCTTCTTAATGTTGTTATTACAACAAACGTAGAGAAAAGCGGAGATGACATAAGTGAATTATAGCCGAGCCGAACACTCGGTGTTCTGGCCTACTCTCGCCATGCCCGCACGTGACTGTACCATGACCATGCTACTGTTGTCACAAGCATGCGGATCGTGTCAAGGATACATAAGCGACGGTGCCGAAGTCACATTTCCCGTGTGCGAAATACGCATCAGTCGGAAAGCGCACGTTAAATCTCCAAAGTAAGTAAGTAAGTAAGTAAGTCACATTTCACAAGCGCACGTAAAATCGCCAACCTCAGTCAGTCGAGTCACATTTCAAATAAGAATTGACAGCCTCCGTGGTCTAGTGGTAGAGCGTCCGCTCGGAGAACGAAAGGTCCGGGATTTGATCCCCGGCCTCGTCACACCAAAAGACGTTAAAAGATGGTACTTGTTGTTACCCTTCCTGGCGCTCGGTATTAAGGGGTTAAAGCAAGGACTGGTCGGCTAGGAGATAGTATACTGTGTCTGAGTGGGGTATTCATGTTAAACTTCGGCATGGTATCTTAGTGGGCTAGCACTATAAATCGGCATCAGTCCGGACTACAAGCAGACACACACACACACACACACACACACACGTGCATGCACGTCGCTTTTCAAGTGCAATAAACCCTTTTCAGCTCACCGCCTCAAATAAGTGAGTAAGTATGGTTTTACGCCGCTTTTAGCAATATTTCAGGAATATCACGGCGGGGGACACCAGAAAATGGGCTTCACACATTGTACCCATGTCGGGAATCGAACCCGGGTCTTCGGTGTGACGAGCGAACGCTTGAACCACCAGGCTACGCGACCGCCCCACCTCAAAAAAGAATTTAATAACAAGGATAGATATTTGTTTTCATTCACTATTTACAGTTTTATATGTTTTACATTCACTAATTACGATTGCCCGGACGCTACCGGACGTTTTACACCCAGTTCAACATCTGGGGCAATGCATGAACTTTTGAAAATGTCTGTTTTTCAATAATATATATGAAACAGTAGACAGAATATGACACTTTATATGTACATTATTTTTTTTACATTTTTACATTTACAAGCAAATTTATATTGTGTCCATCAAAGACTAAGTTACGATCACCGCGTTAGTTCGAATATAATAAAATCGTATTTGGTACGCAGATTCAATATTTAAAAAAGAATAGCGGTGTATGTAAATATTTTCTTCATATTTTATTTTTTCGATATTGATTTCATTTATTTAAGTTCAAATCGCACCTCTTTTCTCAATGACTTTGAGATTTGTGTTAAAAAGTATTTGGGATTCAGAGGTGAGCACTGAAATTAGATGGTTTTCAATACAATTTAATACAATTCTATAGAATACACTTTATTATTTAGTGTGATTCTCCCGGGTGTTCCCGGACGCTCCCGAAAGTTATTTAGTTGGACGTAGAGGTTTCCCAAATATTGGAATTCCCCATTTTGATTTCATGTCACCCGCCACTCTATATGGTCAAAGGGAAGTAACTCTGTCACGATAAACTGTGTTTAGTTCGGTGTTGGATTTGTGTGGTTCTTGGTGTGCTTTATCTACCTGGCATTGATAACACTAGAACCTGTCACCCGACTGATTTGCTGTAGACTACGTTAAAACTAATATCGTGTCGTATATGGGTTCTCTTATGTGTTCAGGAACGACGTGTCTCGTCCAGCAACGCATTTCCGGGTAGAACAGTTGACATATTTCGAGAAGGAAAGCGTTGACCAGTAGGTATTAAAACACTTAACATTTGTAGGTTATTCGCGTTAACATATTACCGGTATTGGCCGAAGAATTGGGAGTGTTTCGTTTGATAACACGCACATTTGTGTGTCGTGAACATTTAGCGAAGGCTGCATTACCTTGTGCTGCGTCTCATGGTTGAGTTAAAACATGACCACTCGTAACTTTCCGGAAACGAAATTGGAGCGAGTCCTAAAGAATTTCAAAGAAATAGGCGATAATAAGCCGAAGCAAATCTCTGTGTTTACCCAGATCGTTAATCATTTTACTTTTACGTGATTGACTAAAACGTTTTGATAATTTTAACAGAAGGAAATTCAAAACACTTCAAGAAATGCATGTTTGTCATGCATTCAATGATGAAAATACTATATTTTTTGCTGTGAAATAACACTGTATAGTGTATGCTTACATGTGAAAGACTGGGATTGGTATAAGTTTACAAAAGTGACATTTTCGCTGCAGTGAGAGTAAAGTGATATGCAGTGAAAATATCACTTTGTCGGAACTACTGGTGCGGGTGAGTTACCTTCTTTGCGCCTGTCGCATGCGGTAGTTGCCGGGCTGCAACAACAGCGTCACCCTTTAACGTATTTTACGCGACCGGGGATCGAAGCACCGACCTTGGGGCAGGGCATGTATCTAATAGACCACGAAGGCGGTCTCTTAAGTTATGAGTGTTGGGGTGGCCTTATGGTTAATGCACCGAAGCCTCTTATTTACGACATGTTTACAGTGTGTGAAACCCATGACAGGAACCCCCTGCGATATGAATACTCTCACTGAAAGCGGCACCCACTCACCCTTATATACTGAACAACAAATGTTCCTGTGACACTGAATAAGATTTAATACAAAGTTATGTTTTTTACCAAATCTGAAACAATTTCGGTTTGCAACAGATAAGACTCCTGCAAGTGTTCAAATGGTTTAATTTTCCATACTGACGCAGAAAATGCGTGATTTCATAAAAAAACATGAACTTGCCAAAATGTTGCGATGCAAGCAACACATCTTCGTCTCATGGAATGGACCAGGCGTCGCACAAAGTCCTGTGCGATATCTGTCCATATCTGCTGGAGCATGTTTCGAAGGGTAGCGAGCCGGCCAGAGGGTAACATTCACGTTGTTTTGTTGAAGAGAATCCTGAACAGGTCGAGCAATATGAGGCCGGGCGTTGTCATGTTGAAAGGTAATGCCTGGGCCATGACGACGCAAAAACGGTAGAACAACAGGGCCGATGATCTCGTCGCGGTAGGGCTGTCCATTGATATTTCCCTCTACCACTATCAAACGGGTCCTCTGTCTTGCTGTAATCCCAACCCATACCATAACGCTGCCGCCCCCGAACCGATCTTCTTCTATGACACAATGATTGACGTAACGTTCACCTCGACGTCGGTACACTCGAATCCGTCCATCGCTGTGGCCGAGGTGAAAACGAGACTCGTCTGTGAATAGAACTTGTCCCCACTGCATGGCCGTCCAGCTTAGACGCTGTCTGCACCACCGTAGACGTGCTTGACGGTGGTTTCCTGTCAAAATGGGACGTCTGGCGGGTCTTCTGGCGACAATCCCTGCACATCTGAGGCGACGACGTACGGTTTGTGAAGATATTCGTCGAAGGCCAGGGATGCTTCTTGCAGTCACTGTTGCTGGCTGGAATCGATTTCGTAGGTGTGTTGTTCGATTCCAGTTGTCTTGTCGATTATTGGTTACGCGTGGCCTGCCACTCCGAGGATGGTCTCTGACTGCATTCGTCTGTTGTCAACGTTGCCATAAACACCAAACGGTGTTTTCTGTGGACGTTCAATTGTCTTGCAACATCACGTTGACTCGATCCTGCTTAAGCATACCAATGGCTTACAGACGCCCATTTTCGGACAGGCGCGGCACTTCGTAATGTTGAATAATTGCGTAATTTTGTTGTTTTTCTGAGTGGTTGTCAGCAGGATGCTAAACAATACATATAGAATCACGTTAACGCACATGTTTTTATACCCATTCTTGGGTAGTGAAATGCATGGGGCTTGCATAAAAGTCAACTTGTGCATGGAATGCATGCTTTTCCGTAGCAGTTGCGTTTTTTGTGATTTGATTCCATACATGTACTACAGTATTGAAAGCCAAAATACACTAAAACATTGGTGTCCCAGGAACTTTTGTTGTTGAGTATATATTAAGCAGTTCCCTACTTCCTTACATACATTGCTCCGTTAGTGTTTATTCATATTGTTCACGTGTGTGAGACCCGTGAAGATCCGGGGTAGAATAGGTCTTCAGCAACCCATGCTTGCCGTAAAAGGCCACTATGCTTGTCGTAAGAGGAGACTAACGGGATCGGCTGGTCAGGTTCGCTGACTTGGTTGAAGCATGTCATCGATCCCAGTTGGGTGGATCGATGACCATCATGAGAATCACTAGATTGTCTGGTCCAGACTCGATTATTTACACACCGCTGTCATATAGCTGGATTATTGCTGAGTGCGGCGTTAAACAACAAACAAACAAACAAACAAACAAACACGCGTGTGAATGCTGTACAAGACAGTCTACTGACGATCCCGGGTAAGAACGTTAGGTGTCCAGGGACGGTGACTTGGTTGAATGCATGTCATGTATTTCCAATATTTCCCATGGCCAGATTATTACTATATTGTATTGTTACCTGGTATAGTCTAATTATATGTATTAATAATGTGTAACGTCTCGTCACGATATGGATGAAATAGTGCCGATGTGACGTTAAATAACTCACTCACTCACTCCCTCACTCACTCACTCCCATGGCCAGTGAACAAAACAAGACACAGGATACCCCGTCTAGCGAAGCAGTAAAGTCAGTCTCTGTGGATTGTCGCTAACCTAGTGACTATGTTATTCCCACACAATTTGTTCAGTTAAATACCAATTATACCTGCTGTTAAGTCTTATTTATTTGATATTTCAACGAGCTTTGAAAATTAAAGCTTTGTTTGTTGTTTAACACCGCATGAGCTGATGCTACTAATATGGCGGCTGCTCGTACATAATCTGGACTTGGCCAGGCACACAGTCATTGGCATTGGCAATTGTTGGGAATCCCCACGAAGTTTGAATACTAAAATCAACATTGCCACTCCTAATGCATATGTCTGAGAAATTACATTGTTGAAATTACTTAAATTACCGTGTACGCTTTTGCAGAAATGTGGGTACAATGTGTGAAAATCCAACTCACTGCTGAGATATATGCTATCCCTTCATAATGCCCATTACCTTAAACATGCATATTTAGATCATGTGATCATGAGAGCACACCACAGCGCCGATTATGAACGACAGTGTACCTAACGATATTTTTTATCAACTTTCTGTGCTCAACTTAACATTCTACTTCAACCACCAATATTCTTTCATCTTCATCGATTGATACAGCAGCTAACATTTTGTTTTTTGTTTAACGCCGTACTCAGCAATATTCCAGCTATATGTCGACGGTCTGTAAATAATCGAGTCTGGACCAGACAATCCAGTGATTGATATCATGAGCATCGATCCACGCAATTGGGATCGATGACATGCATCAACCAAGTTAGCGAGCCTGACCACCCGATCCCGTTAGTCGCCTTTTACGACAAGCATAGACGCCTTTTACGACAAGCATGGGTTGCTGAAGACCTATTCTTCCTCTGATCTTCACGGCACCCACGCCAGCAATTGGGATCGATGACATGCATCAACCAAGTCAGCGAGCCTGACCACCCGATCCGTCAGTCGCCTTTTACAGCAAGCATAGTCGCCTTTTACGGCAAGCATAGTCGCCTTTCACGGCAAGTATGGGTTGCTGAAGACCTATTCTACCCTGGATCTTCACGGGTAGCAGCTGACTTTTAACACCACACATCCACAACACATCGTCCAGGTGTCGCGAGTGAAGGTGTTCCCTTTGTAATCACTCGTCATCAGGAATGTGTAACAGCGGTAGAAACTAACAGTTTCAGTCCACTAGTCCTTATAATGATAGCATATAGCAAAACCTTTAAATATGTAAAAATTCTACTAGTCCTTGGGATACCTTTACTATTGGGCAGTTTCGCAAGGACTATAGGACTAGTACCAATTTCTAACCCTGTGTAAAATCTGTTTGTTCTGTGGCATGAAACAGGTGTCAAGATAAAACATTCTGCGTTTATCTGTGTCTGTCCTGCGATTCACAACGTTCACACTGACATAGCGTGTTATCAGTGCCAGTAGAGAAAGTACGCCTGCTCAGTTCAATTAACAGATTTGAGAGATTTCCCTGACTTAAACCATGTTATGGTTGATATCTAATGTATGTATAATAGTGCATAACGACCTATACTTACGTCCTGGCTCAGAATAAACTGCAAGAACAATTGCCTCTTGAAGAGTGAGTGAGTTGGATGGGTTTAACGCCGCTTTTAACAGTATTCCAGTTATGTCACGGCGTGTCAGCTTAATGTGGGAGGAAAGCCCGAAGTGATGCAGGTCTCAGACGTTTACCACTTCGCTGGAACCCACGAGGACGGGTATGGTGCTGACAAACCTTGAAACAAAACTCGGGTGAACCCGGATTCGAACCCACAATCATAGTTTTTTGGCGCGCCGAAGGGGCGCAACTCTGCACAGCGAATTTGCAGCGCCCGTGCCCCCGTCTTTTGAAGAACATGTATCACGTTTGTCACAGGGTGCATATAGAGGTCATATGACAGGGCTTTATTTCCTTGGCTGGCCACAGACATAAATATCTTATAAATGTATGTAGGTTACACGGCAGCAGGGTAGATAACTTACAATTTACAACAATTTACAGCAATACAATACATATATTGTGTCACAGTGCAATAAATCAAAACGTAGATAGATTTTTAACACACATTTTTTTGGTTTATTAAACAAACTATGTAATTTTATAAGACATGTGGCTTATTGTGATAATATCTAGGTAACAAAATTATATCTATCGCTGAATTCCACGAACATAGTATATTATGGTGCTGTCAAACCTAAAAACATAATCAGAGCGGCCAGTTTTGACTTACCAAGTACCTTAAAGTGAGTTTATTCTTAGACATGTTAAAAGCGATTGACCCTACAAGATATAGCTGATAGCTGTCTCTCGGGCGGTTATGGG